AGAGAGGGAGGGTGAGAGAGAGAGAGGAGGATGAGAGCGAGAGAGAGAGAGAGAAAGAGAGAGAGAGAGAGAGAGAGAGAGAGAGAGAGAGAGAGCTCTGCAGGTTCCCACCGCATGGTTGTGGTGGATGTGTGGTGTTGTCTGTGCGTGCGTGCGTGCGTGCGTGCCGGCATGTGTCTCTGTGAGCGTGCGTCCAGTTCCAGTAGTAACTGTAGTTGTGTAGTCTTACATGTAACTGCAGTTGGTTCTATCTGTAGATGTACGTAGTTGCAGTTGAGTTGTAGTTGCAGTTGGTTTGGTGTGTACTACTACGCCTCGCTGTACATGTCTAAACAGAGGAATTGCTCCGACCTGTGATTGGAGGATAAAAATAGAATTCGTGACGTTTCGTTTCACCGGTCATAGCCGCGCGTGTATTAGCCCATGAGCGATACGGCACGTGCATATTTGCTAATTAATTAGACTAATCGTGCTTCAATAGACTCAAAAGAGAGATTAAGGCTGAGACTGTTTCTATAATAGCTAGAATTTATAGAAATGTAATTCAAATCGTTCGCGCCATATGATAGTTAGTACACGTTACTACCGGTCATAGCATAATTGCGTATGCGGCGGGAGTGGGCGGGGTCTATTTTTATCCTCCAATCACAGGTCGGAGCAATTCCTCTGTTTAGACGCATGTCTCGCTGTGCGTCCAGCCATGTAACGCTCCCCTATTGTTCTGATGCACAGCACAGCGACGCCGTCCACTCGACGTATCAGGCTCTGCAGGACAAGATCCAGGCTCACCAGCCGAGCCCCGAGCCGCCACCCGACGCTCTAGCATCGCCGCTGATGGCCATGCCGACGCCCGCTCATATATGAACGCGCGCGCGTGATCGAGCCTTCGGCGCACCATCTCGCAGAGTAGTTCACAGAGTGTTGCAGTAGTATTGCATCATCTAGCAAAGTGTTGCAGAGTATTGCAGAGTATGGCAGTACTGACTGTAGTCTTGCAGAGTATTGCAGTAGTCTTGCAGTTGTATAGTAGTAGTCTTGCAGAGTATTGCAGAGTACTGCAGTAGTATTGCAGAGTACTGCAGTATTACATTAGTATTGCAGAGTACTGCAGTAGTCTTGCAGAGTATTGCAGTAGTATTGCAGTAGTCTTGCAGTAGTTGAGTTGTAGACTGACTACATTGTATTGTATCACACACACACACACACACAAGTAATAATATATTACATTTATACTACATTGTACTGTATATATCGCGTGAGTGACTTATTGTAATACGTTATAATATGTTCCGCAAATGATTGTTAGTGTAGGTTCAGAATGAATATATTTTGTTAGGGATTTTAAAATTCAATGTAATTCTCTGGTATAGAAACTATGAACAAAACGTGGTCTTATTTGTACACTTACAGCAAAAGCTTTATTTCTCAGCCATTTTGGTGTAAATGTATAACTATAAAAGAAACTTTAGCATTAAAGTAATGAGATCAAACCTCTTCTTAAACGTATCACAATTTAATAAACACGCGAAATGCCATTATTATAAAAATACTTCACGAAAATGTAATACAAATCAGATTCAAAATCATGTTGGCATAATGGTAAAAGAACATGTTCAATCGTGTAAATATAAAACCTGAGAATAAGACAAGTCCGTAAAACGTGTAAAATATTTTGTTAAATAAAAACGTTTGTTTAAAAAATCTATCTCACTTTCATCGTAGCAATGTACGTCACTTAGATCTGCACTAGCAGTTCTCGACGGATGTCTCGAGTGGAGACTTGCCAGGTAATAAAGCTGTGTGACATAACAATACAGGTATATTATGCTGTCAATACGTAATAGTCGAAGGACACGCAATATGACTAGTATGCTGCAGAAAGACTAAAAATTAAACAGATCGTCAACATTTACTGCTACGCAGATCAGACGGACACCACCTACTAACTCACTTGCAAAGCAAACTCATCTCAAATCAAACTGTCTGCAGCACAGGCACTTTGATTGGAGCATCTCAATAAAGAAAAATAATGCTAAATAAACACGAAATGTATTTACTGCAAGCGTCTTAATGTTTCTCTACTCTCTTTAGCCTATTATTGCCGATAATTTCCTGTAAATGCCGTTCAAATGCTCCTCTGCAACACACACGTACACTGCACGCACGCCGCGGCACGTTTACACATATATACACTATATAGATATATATTATCGGCAATAATAGGCAAAAGAGAGTAGAGAAACATTTGGTAGTAAATACATGTCGTGTTTATTTAGCATTATTTTTCGTTATTGAGACGCTCCCAGTGCCTGTGGTCTACGGTTGTGCAACGAAGTTGCAACGACATGCCCCCCCGTATCTCTCTGTACAGTTGACTCCATCGTGCAATCAGCAATCGGGTTAGCGGGTGGATGGAGGGGGTGTAACGCTACACAGATGCAAAATGCCGGGTTTACGGACGTCTAAACGAGAAAAGAACATTTCCGATGCAATTACGTAGACGAGGATGCGACCTCGCGAAGGAACACGAACCGGTCGGGTGGTCGAAAAACGCCCCCCGATTTTTTCCTTGATTTTCGATTTATGCGCGCGCGCTGCATCTCCCTAGTCCAGCTCCCAGTCCTAGTCCCAGTCCCAGTCCTAGACCCAGTCCCAGTCCTAGTCCTAGTCCCAGTCCCAGACCCAGTCAAAGTTCCAGTACTAGTCCCAGTCCTAGTCCCAGTCCCAGTCCTAGTTCCAGTCCCAGTCCTAGTCCTAGTCACAGTCCCAGTCCCAGTCCCAGATCCCAGTCCCAGCTCCCAGGTCTAGTCCCAGTCCCAGTCCTAGTCCCAGCTCCCAGTCCTAGTCCCAGTCTCAGCTCCCAAGTCAAGTCCTAGTGCCAGCTCCCAGTCCCAGTCCCAGCTCCCAGTCCTAGTCCCAGTCTCTGCGAATCTTGAAGCACCACTCCCACTGCAGATGCTCGATCTTGTCGTCGTCGATGAACGAAGACTTGACGGTGTACTCGCCGCACGCGACGACACCAGAGGGCGCCGTCTCCGTCGGCGTCACGTACGACTGAAGGTCGCGCTTCGGACCGTAACTGCCGATCATCCAGCCGTCCTGGTCGACTGCAGAGAGAAAGATTATCAAGAGAGAGATGGGGGAGGGAGGAAGACAGAGGGGAGAGAGAAAGAGGGAGGGAGAGAGAGAGAGCGAGAGAGAGCAAGAGAGCGAGAGAGAAAGAGAGAGCGAGAGATGGAGAGAGAGAGAGAGAGCGCGCGAGAGAGGGAGAGGGAGAGAGGTCGGAGAGAGGGAGGGAAAGGTTCGAGGCCGCATTGATATCGAAACAGTCATTGACGCAAATGTAATCTCTAAAAAAATGATGAGAAATCTAAGAAAGGCTACTATTTTATTAAAATAGATTCAAAATAAACAGGAACGAATAATGTTTTAGCATGAAATAAATTTCATTCGAATAACTTTAGCTTCCGTACAGTTCATAAATTTTAATAGATAATGAAACTATTATTGTGTCTGTGATGTTTACGCATAGGCATCTTAATTGGTAATAGTCGCTATTTTTAATTAACAATTAATATATGTATGCTTGCTAGAAACTATCACATAGTGAGGCAACATATAGCTGAACAATACATCACACTGTATCACATTTATTGATTTTACACTCAAGCAACGAAAAACATTCGAAAATCGGTCTGGCGCCTTTTACGATCAACTGTCTGTGATAACATAAATTGGCTGCAAAGCGCTTGGAAAGAGTTGGAGTTTTTACTATCTATCCGGAAGTAACTTGAATTACGTCCATATTGGTTTAAAAAGGCTATATGGGGGCTATATATGGCGAAAGAGCAGGGTTTACGAAAATTAAGCTTTACTGAGAATGACGCGATACTGCAAAGTCTAGCATCTTAATATCACTATATCATCTGATTATATCTTGCCCGTACGATAGCATTCTTACATGTATCTTGATTTCCGAACAAGCATGAGCGCATGGGTGTATGCTGCGCAAATTCTGAGTGCAGCGGGGGGATGGGGAGGCAGAAAATATCGTGACTCAACTGAGTAATGAAGATGGAGGGGCGGGAGGCGGAACTCCCAGTCAACGCCACCATGATGTGGTGAGGAGTGTGTGTGTGTGTGTGTGTGTGTGTGTGTGTGTGTGTGTGTGTGTGTGTGTGTGTGTGTGTGTGTG